GATTTCATATGCGTAAAACATGTTTATTTTGCTTCATTTTGATGCACATATGTATGCGAATGTTGCATTATTGACCACATTAATTTTAAATGAGTATGAATGAATAACTATATGCCATGAATCACTTTTTGTTGTATTATTGTGAAATATATATATTTTGATTGTGATTGTTGTGTGTTAAATGAATAGGATTGCCACATTTTGGCCTGACTAACTGGAATCGTATTTCCATGTTTTGTCATAAATATGTGATCAGTTGCCTTGTTCTGACATAAGTATATGATCGGGTACCGCGTTATGGTGCACTAACATTTTGGATATGGGTTCCAAGAGAGGACCATTGAACAGGGTTCCATGAGAGGACCATTGACTTGTTATATATTGGCTTATTGTTATTAACATGAACATGGACTATGCCTTATGAATTCTCAAAGAGTTCTACTTAGTGTCAGTGGGGATATGGGACTTTATTCATGCATTGCGAAAGTTTACTTTTAGAGTGGTTGTGGTGTGATTCTCTTATGATATTGTATATGTTTGGTGTATGAATGTTTGCAATGTTTCTTTGACTTATATATGTTTCACTTAATGAGATATCCGCTTGATTCTACCAGTACATGGTGGTTGTGTTCGGATACTACACTCACTCTTAAATTTATTGAGTATTTGGCATCTTTCAGCGACTATTGATAGACCTCTGTCATGTGATTATTGAGGGGGACCAGATTCAAGGGTGAGCCAGTTGTTTCAGGATTCCATGGATCCCTCTTGTTTAAGTCCACTCTCTTCTGACTCAGACTATTGTTAAGGTGTTGTTTTTAGTTTTGGGGGTTGTACCCCTTGTAATTAGACTTGTCATTGGTAGAGTTTTGGTACATTGACTTTCAGGTTCTAGGCGTATTTTCTTCCCCATTTGTTTAGTTGTTAGACCTTTTCTTGGAGTTTATGGGAACTCTCGATTTCTTTTCTTAGTATTTTGATTAGTTTGTTAGTATTAATAGTTCTCCCACTGGAGAGTTAGTGTGAGTACCTCTCATGACAGTTTGGGTCATGACAAAGTTGGTATAATGAGTCTAGTAGAGTCTTGCAGAATGGTATGGTGTTCCTACTTTTCTTCGAGAAGCTGTAGGACCTTAGGAAAAAATCATTTCTTTCTACTCCTTCATGCTATGACTTGAATCTAGTTGGTATATGGGTGATACAAATTGGTATCTTTCTACCTATACTCTATGGTTCAACATAGAGCAACAAAAGTGGTAACTCCATCACTAGAAAGAGAGAATGTTTATAGATTATTGACAGCTGAATATGGTTACCATTTTGAACAAGTAATCTTTTTGACCAATTGCAAGGTGCATCAAGTTTTTCAAAGATTGATTTAAGGTTTGGTTACCATGAGTTAAAGATTGCAATGTTTAAGAATTGGGTTCGACCATGTTTTGTGATTCAAAATAACAGCTTTATGGGGCTCCCTAGCTATCATTATCGCTTGTGGTATGAATTGAGTCCAATTTGTGTCTCCTGATCCCAATTGGTATCTCAACAAAGTGAACTCGATGCTATAGTCTCGGCTGTGGGGACACAATCAAGTTAATTGGAACGGAGAAGGTTCCAATCGATATCTGGTTTGAGGGGTCATAAAAGGCATAAATAAATGGAAACAGTTGCCTATAGAGTGAACTAATTAAATAAATTTGACTAGTGTGCGAGTTGTAACTTGGAAAGGTGAATGTGAATGGTGTATTACTTGGATGTTCGTGTCATGACTTGAGCATACACCCTGGACATGGACGAAACTTAGAGATCATTACTGGGATCAAGAGAACCCTTGGTCTTACTTACTTACCTAGCGGCAGACTTAAATCATTAAGAAAAGATTTCAAATGCTAACTGACTCAACTGTCTAAGATTGAAATTAATTTTGTTTTCTAAAATGAACATTTAACTTAGCCAAAATGGCAATTCAAATATGAACATAAGTCAATAAAAAATGATAAGGAATGAACTAACATATGACTAACTATCTATAAAGCCTCTTATAACTGATATGGATGTTGGAACAGACCCCACAACATCCTAATGAACTAAACTAGAAAGCAATGAAAGTGGATCATGCAGAAATCAAGGAGATTTACCAACTTACTCTGAACTTCTCACTAAATCAACGACGCGCTGGATTGCCGATCCTAGTTACCTGCGTCTACATCATAATACGATACAGTCCAACTTGCGTCGATCCATTGAATGTATGAGTAAGTGAGTTGGAGCGCTAAACAACATAGGCTTGAAGAAGATTTTGAAAGAAACACTTACCTTGACTCATCTCAACTCATGAATACTTTGTTAAACTTATTTCAAGATTAAGCAATTTAAAAGAAAGTGCATGATAAAGAAAAGCTGTTTAAAACATGTTGTAAAACTCTGTGTGTACGCAAAGATACAAAATAACTCTGAGATGTATGTAAAACTACAAATAAACTGACGTCAATTTATAATAATAATAAATAACATATCATGCTTCCTCAGAAAGTCTATTTTTTCAATGCATGAATGAAGTCCATACCCCTATTTATACTAAGAAAAACCTCTTGAAGAACCATGGAACTACTGTTGTGGGAGTTTCTCTAACTGATAACCATCACTTAAGAGCTATAGTGATGTTACAAGACTTTACCTCCCATTGCCAATAATCATCCTACAACTTGCCGGAGGTATAAGAAGCTTAATTTTTGACTAAGTGGATCAACTAGCTTAACTTATGTGATCATCGAAAAAGTATGACCCTTTTATACCCATGGTAACAACATGGTTTACAGAGACTTGAGTTAATATGAACTCACATCTCCATATCGGTGCTCAATACTATTCCCCAAAATATACTTGCTCATATGTTTTACAAATATCTGCTTCTGTGATTTGAGATTAATACTAAGAAACTTAGCTTAAAAGCTCTTTTAGAATTAATGTTCTCTCTTTTTGATTAAATGTGAAAACATTTGTAAACTCTTAGGGAATACTTAGTTACCTTATAACTTTTGAGAAATAAACTTAACTTTTTACTTTTAGCTTAACTTGAACCTTGAGCCTTAAAAACGAAGTTAAAACGTCTATTAAGGACTTATAGTACTTGAAATGAACTTCATTCATTTTCTATTCTCTTTACTTAACTTTATCCTTAAGCCTTAAAGCAAAGTTAAAAGAATTTGTAAAAGACTCCTTAAAAGAACTCTAGGAACTATCTAAACTTGGCTCTAAATTTTCCTTGAATATGAACCTATGAATTCAAGGTTGTAATTCATGTTTCTGGATAATTTATGTATTTTTAAAAGTCATTTAGAGTAGATAGAATCAACACGAAGTGTTAAAACACTGTAGAAAAGTTTAAACGGATGGAATAACAAAAACAAGGTGAAAATGATATTTAGAGCACGCCCGAGGCGTTCTGCGCTAGCCTCACTTTACTGAGGCACCATTTTGGTGCACCGCCCCAGCCCTCCTTGCACTATGGGGGTGCGTCGGCCAACCTGTACCTTAGGCAAAAATCGACCAAATTTTATCCTCTCGTTTTCTGACCTTAAATTGTTTTAATTCGATTCTTTTTCTCAAATTCACTTTAGATTCATGTACCCGTATCATATATACTATTATATAACCCAATGAATTCAAGAAAAACACCTAAATCATCAATGAACTCCTAAATCTCAACTCATGTTTAAAAATGAAAGCAATTCAAGAACATTAAAAAATCCAATGTTATTAGGATTAAATCACATTGAATCAAACAAGCTTGACACGTGGGTTAACGAACCTAACATTATGGAAGAGTCACATACCTTGTAGCGATCACCGGCGGTGAAATCCACAAGTAATTCTTCACGAACTCGATGATCTTGACGAATCTTGAACGCGCTTCTCCTTTCTCCTTTTTCCCCTCTTCTTTTCTCTTCAATCAAAACCCTAACTCTTTTGATAAATTCTAAACAAATATAATTCAGCTTAGACCCTAATTAATTACCAAAAACAAATTTAATTAGTTAGGTAAGGAATAGACCATACTGCCATTCTAAAATCCGGATTGGCCAATTCCTTAACTGAACAATCCAACTTCTAAAGGGCATAACTCACTCATACGAACTCGAAATCGTGCAAACTCGGCGGCGTTGGAAAGTTTGTTCCAAGGAATTTCCAACCATATTTGCACTACACCTAAATAATCATGATAAATGAGTTATGGCCATTTGAAATTTACCAAAAACTCACTTTTTAAAAATGTATGAAAATATCTAGATTTTAATTCTTTCCAAAATTGACTATTTCAACTTTTAAGCTTCTTCCTAGATATTTCAATTTGCGAGATGTTACATTTTTATATGATTGTGCGCGCAATATTTCTTGTATGAATGCTGGTATGTGTAATGTGTTGGCTTAAATGTTGAAACTGTACAATTTATATTGCTTGAATGTCATGAAACTTGTTGTCAAAAATAAAGTCATCACGAGTTTAGCTGCACTGGTATATATAAATTACAATGCGGTTCATAAATGAAAAATCTGGATGTGCAGTTTTATTTGGAAAAAATATTTGTGTTTTAGGTATGGTTTTAGAGTCGCCACTTAATAATTAAGAAAAATCAAGAAAAAACTTATTCTTGACATATTAAAACAGTAAATTGATTGAAAAACCTAAAATACTCTCTTGTGATTATCTAGCAATTAATTTGTTTGGCTTAAACCATAACTTAATTTGAATAGAAAATATTTGGAATCATTAAAAGAGTGAAAATAAACTTATTATTTGAGTGAGGTTTTTACTTTGCAAAATTTATTATTTTTTAAGTCCACTTATACTTGGTTGATTTAGTTCAAATAATAAAAACATAACTTAAGTCTTGCAGGATTTCGAATTTTCCGACTCTAAGACTAAAGACAATTAAGAACAAGTAAGTAAGTGTAATAATGTAAAGAGGGAAAGAAAGAGAGAGAGAGAGAGAGAGAGAGAGTTGGGTTCAAATCTAGTTTCTGTCCGCCTGGACCGTATTTGGACCAATTTCATTTTGGGACTTTGGCCCGTTTCTACATGTCCTAAAATTCTAACAATACAATAATGATAATATCAAAAAGTACTTAGGCCCAACATAACTAAATACAAAATTTAGAAAATAAATTTTGGCTTGTTGGCCCAAAATCTTCAACTTCTTCCAGTTAGGTTTCTTTCCATTCGGGAACCTGTACACCTTTTTTTGAAACTCATTCTTTGATTTGACGGGCTGACTCTAATAAGGGGAATCAAGCCTTTACGAATCTCTCTAAATTCAAGGAAAAGATAAGAGTTCATGATGAACTCGGACATATTTCACATGCAAGAACGATAAATAAGTAACAAAATTAGCATCTTTTGGAAAGGAATGAAGTGGTAAGATAAAAATAGATTCGCAAACAAAATAACATACTGATTAGTCATTAACAATACAAAAATTAAAAGGAAAAATTAAAAGGAAAAATAGATGAAGACTTGTTAATTTGTATGTATCATGAATGGGGAACAGTAATCAAGACTAAGCATTGGAACAAAGGTCATATGAGATGTAAAATTATAGGCTTTTAACATAAATGTTTCAATATTACAAGATTAAAATCATTACTAGGCAAGTTCAAAGAGATAATGAACAAATATGTCATCTACTAAGTGTGACTATTGTATATTTGTCTCAAAGCCCAAGAATTGTTAGCTAAAACAAGCCTACAATCAGTAGTTAAAGTAAAATGAAACAGATTTTCCAATCCCCTTTTTGAACTTTTAAAATAACATTATAAACAAGTAAAACATGTAGGATTTAGTCCAAAGTAATAAATAAATTATCATTTGTAGGTGAGATTTCTAAACAAATATAATAGTAAGAAATGTATCGTCAGTAATTCAAATTTTACACACGAATATTGTCTAATATAGACATCATCTGGGCATCTTTCTTATCACCGATTTTAGTCTTAACGACACCTAATCAAGCTATATAGAGAAGGGAAATAAAAGCCGGTGATCACCAAAGCAAGAAAAAAGAACAAAATAAAATAAAATAAACAACATCCTTAACAAATATTGAAATATGGTAAGATTGATGAAGAAAACAAGCTAGAATTATGGATGTACATTCAAAGTTTCATGTACTTCCAACATTATTGAAATTTGTTAAAGATATACATGAATCTCACGGGGATCTCCAGTAGAAAATAGGGAATATTCATTTGCCCTAAAGGAATAAACACAAAAAATGAAATGAATGAACATGGACTACGACATATTTTATGCATCTTGTAACCAAGAAAAGTGTTACACCCTCAAAATGATCTAGGTTGAATTAGAGACTAACATGTTGGTTATGAGTTAATTAGATCCTTAAATGACTAATTGTAGTTTTAAAAGGTAGTGTATTATGTTTGGAGGTCAAACGTCCAAGACATTCGAAAGTGTTGCCTTGCAATGTGCTTGTGTGTCTCTGTGTGTTTTTGCTTGTTTTATGTGTTTTTTGGAGTTAAAATTAATACGAGAGGTTTCTAACATGTATAAATGAGTATTTTAGGTGGAAACATCCGGGAAAAACTCCCCAAGGATTAACCAAAGGGTCCTTGAGGAGGACCCAACCTTGGGCAAACAAGATGACCAAGACAACAATTTTTGTTCCTTGGTGAAATAGGTCCGTATCGCGGACTTGGCCGTTCATAGGTAATAATGTTGGTCCGCGTCAGGTACACAAAATAGATTCAATTGTACCTGAAGTTATTTTCAAAAAAATTCATGCGGGAACTGCTCCACTACGAAGATTCCAGAAATAAAAGTTGAGTTTGACATGTCTGAAAGTTCAAATAAATATGAGGATGTTTTGGTAACTTTGGATGATGTTTATAAACTTATTTTAATACCTATTTAACCCCTTTCCCACATCAAAATCTCAACACCCAATAAGAAAAATCAAAACCCCAAAACTCTCATCTCTTCCAACTTCTCCCGAAACCTCCACGGGAGACCAAAACTCAAGATCAAGCTAGGGGCTCGATTTCTATAGTTTTTTCTCCAATTCATGGGTATTCAATAAATAAGGTATGGTGAACCTTCATCCTTAGTTATACATTCATCGAAGGAGTTAAATCAATGATTTTCAAAAGTGATTCAAAGACCAAAATTCCTAATTTTCAATCTACCCATGAGTTCATTGTCAAATTTATTTCAAAGTCATTCTAATGATGGAATTATGTTTAATTAATGTTTTAATTATGAATTTCAATCAAATTTCATGCAGAACCCATGATTCTCCTAATTTCTCAAATTGGTCCATAATGTGGGTCTTATGATCTTGACTTTATGTTGATAGAATTGTGATTAGATTTTATTGAATTGGTTGTTGCTATTACTATATATATAAATTGAATATTAATTTTGGAGAAATGGTCATTATCTTGGAGATTTGGTAATTTGACCTATCTCCTCTAATTAGCTTAGAATGTATAGTGAACTGTGTTTATTGGTATGGTCCAGTTATGCTGGCGGTGTTTACATTCTTTTACATGTTTATATGTTATGATCATATCCTTGAAGACATTATATGCAAGATGATTTTATATAATATTTCCATGTTTAGGAAGTTGAAGGATGTAGCATCGATTCTAATATCATATCTAAGTGAATTGATGTCATGTGAAGTATATGAATAGTCTTCCACACTAGTTGTATGACCTAGGTGTGGAGATGATGTAATATGCATATGTGTGATGATAATGTTAGGGTTAGGTGTGGTCTATTCGGCTAATGATGATGAATATTCTTCTAGCATGGTTCTAACCTATTAAATCCCTATATGAAAGTGTGATCAAATTATGCTACGAGTCTTGTACTCTAATGTTGAATATGCTCTTGTCTTCTATGGTATAATTTGAGTGTGTGTAGTCTATTGTAATTAATTCTATATATGTGTGTATGACATGATACTTGAGGAATGTTGTACATGTGTTGTGATCTTTAGAGGATGGCTTCATCAATGCTATCTACTAGTCATTATGTGATCATATTGACCAATGTACACTCACACACACTTCATTCATATCTATGAGTATTATAGGTTCATGATGACTAAGGAAAGGATAGTTCTCACATACACTCCATTCATATCTATGAGTAGGATAGATAAATGATGACTAAGGAAAGATAGTTCTCCTATGCATCATTGCCTATTTCTATGCATGTTAAGTATATGATTAATGAATTTATGAACATGTGTGCCTAAAGGTGCTTAGGTGAAGTATGTAATGGTGGTCTAATAAATAAGTGAGTCTCTTGAAAGGTATTAATAAATTGTACTCTAAACTAGACTAGAGTATGAATATGATATGATTTTGTGAAATGACATTCACATATGCTATAGATACTATGATGAAAGGACTTTATCGTCTTAGATACGTTTGACCTATATGATATATGAGGGAGTAAGTCCCTAAAGGCCTAATCTTTATGAAATAATGTTATCTAAAGGCTTAATGATGTTTTAAAAGGGAGTTTTTTGCTTATCACCAAAAGGGTATGCAAATGAGATGGAAGTCTCACGTTAGTAAGTCCGTCCTCCCACATGGGTTTCTTCAATTTAAGTCCAGATTCCCAAGATATGTTTTGTCTCATGAGATGGAAACCTTCACGTTCAGCAAGTCAAAGTCTAGCAATAATCTGTTTGACCCTTAACTATTGGCCAACATAGGACTCTAGCTTAGTGGATCAACCGATATAGCTATGTACGAATGGTTGAACCTTAGGCAAGTGTTAACCCCTCTCTTTTTGGTGTGGGAGTAGAACACCGGATTTCATGCAGCTTACATGGTCTATGTCGGTTATGGATATGTTTTCCAAAGGTTAATAAATTAACTAATATAAGAATATTATAATCGAAATTCCTTGAGAAGTGTACTTCGCATAAGTAGGACTGTGGACCCTATCTATGCATTTCACTAGATGACTTCAAGAAAGGATAGGATTGGAACCTCTTATGAAGTAAAGACTTATGTTATGTATGACTTGTATGAATGCATGTTAAGTGACTTTGCTGTGTGAAGATATGAATTATGAGTATGCATGCGAATTGCACTTATGGTTTCTAAGTTAGTTAACATAGTATATGTGGGGGTATGAGACTCCATGTGTACATTATGTAAGTAAGCTTCTAAAGGGGTTATGAGGGTGGTTTACCTATGATATGAACTAAATGGTTTATGACTAAGATTGTAGTAAAGAAAAGAGTCCTTATATGTTGTTATGAAGTATGTGGCCTTATGTTTAGTTATAATTGAAAGTGTTATGACTTGTTGGGTATGTTATTCCTAGTATACGGTGTTTTCTTAGGTACATTTGGTGGAAGTAGTATTCTGGGATGTACACATTGCACTAGTGTAACTTAGGAGTTTTCTTAGGTGATGGTATTTGTGTGAAGTTGATGTCTATGATGTGCTTATGACTTGTGAATGTATGTGGCTGTGTTTATGATGCATATATATGAAAGGATATTGTAAGGTGATTTCAAGGTGATACATTGTACTAAGTACACTTGAGGGTTACTAAAGGACAGAAGTAAGATAAAAATAGAAGTAATATCATGTATGTATTGAATAAGCCTCAAAGTATGATAAATGACTTTATGTGCTATTATGAGTAGTATGAATGTGTATATGATGTATGTGAAATATATTTAGCTTATATGTGCCTATGTTCATGAAGTTTACTAAAAAGACATGTTGAATGATTTCAAATGAATGTACTTTTTTAAAAAATGCAAGTTTTTGCATGATTTCCATGCGTAGTGAATTCTTGTACTAATACTATTCTTTTTCATCTTTTTACACAAACTGTAGGTGGTGATGACAAGAGGACGTCTCGTAGGTGAAAAGCTTGGATAGATCTTCCAAGTTCAAGAAGAGGGATCCTTATGATTGAAGGATTTCCCTATGTCAAGTTCCTATTAAATTATGTAATAGCTTAGATATTATCTTATGTTTTTAAGGGCCGTGTCCCTATTGTACTCTATTGGTGTTGAGTCTAAGATGGCAAAGAGACTTAGATTTTAACTATATATTATAATATTTTATATATATAGTAATGTTCTAGTATATGATGTGCTATGAAAATTTTAAATTTTCCACTATTTTTACGATTATGTGATGAAAGATGTCTAAGGGCTTGTCTTAGACCTCTGAGATCTCGACGACACCACGTGATGATTTGAGGATGCCATAACTTGTAGTGTATACCCTCGGCTCGTAACAGAAATACTATCATGATTTTATTCTAAGGTATGTCAAATCAATCAAGACCAACATTATGTACCATTTGGAACCAAACAACCGAAACAATACCCATAATTTTAAAGAAAACAAACATTTAAACCCAGCTTGGACAACGTCTAAAGAACTAGAGACAAAATCAAATAAACAAAAATGGTACAATTAGCTATACCATAAGACAATAAGAACAAATTTTAAGCTATACTAATTTGGATAGGAACTATTATGTAAACTCGAAAATAAGCACGATAAAAGCAGGGATATAAATCCTTTAACACATTCAAAACAAGTAATAGGCTAAAGGAACTAGTGTGGGAAAAATAAATAGGATCACATCCTATGGATTAGCAAATGAAATAAAAAAAAGAACTTCGAGGTGAGCATCAAAGTCAAGAATTCAAGAATTCAAGAAGAGCACAGACAGAGATATAAGCTCAAAAGAACATTAAACCATCTTGAAAATGAAGGAAGAACCATAGCAAGGGACTTATCGAACAAATTTTACCATTAATTTGCACGAAGTCAAAGTCAAACACATCTTTAACTCTCACATGTAAATAACTTCACATAGTCGAGAATCAAGAAATAACGCTTTGGGAAAAAATGCATCTAATATGAAGAGGATATTACCTTTCGAGGGTCAGCGAACTGAGACAACGACCACAAGACAACTCCACCGAACTTCAAAAATTCTAATTAACTCCTGCAGATCCCAACCAATCACGAATAATGAAGAAGGAAAGAGTATTTAAGGCATGTTTTCTGAAGTAAAATTTATGGTTTTGCATTCCTTTATCTGTAATACTTTCCAAAACCCACTTTCTTCTTTTTTGAACTCCCCAAAAAAATCTGCCGTGATCTAGAGAGGAAGAGATGTTTCTATAGATAAGAAAATCTAGGGTTTATGAATATAAAGGGCGGGTGAAATTTGGAGATGTTTGGGGGTAAAATCATGATTCCCCTTCATTCAAGTTTGAAATATCTCCCCAAGGAATGGAAAAGGATGTGGTTTGTACGAAATTTCATCCAAATCCCAGAAAATCCGGACGTCAGGTGCAACGGACGACTCAGATTTATCCTCATGGTCCTTTAGATGTAACATGGCATCATCTCACTGCCACAAGGATAAGTAGATAATGCTGTAAGGACAATTTTGCAGGCGGCTATGGCTGGTGAAAAGTTGTATGATGCAGAAAAAAGGAGAAGGAGATATTGGAGCGTCGTATATGCGTGAAGAGAAGGCGACGCGCGCAGGGGTTGCCTTTGGTGCAATTCACTCACTGCTGCACAATTGGCTTCTAGGTTTTCTCGCAACTACTCTTAGGATGCATTGTTCTTGAAGAGGAAGAAGAAGAAAAACGAGTCTGGTCATTTTGTGAAGGGGAAAAAGAGTGGGCCGGGTCAGGGAGGATAGGGAGTGGGTTGGGTCTGCTGCTTTGGGGTTATTTGAAATTAGAAATAAAAAAAAAGGTATTGGTCCTGAGATTTTGGATTTGGAAAAAGGAATGGGGGATGGATAGATGATCATTAGAACGAGGCCCAAAATTTTGTCTTTAGAATTGGTAAATCAGCCAAATTGAATTTACTTGGTGAATTCGGCCGAAATAAATAAATAAGATAAATTCATATAAGTTAATTAATAAGCTTCTTAGTTTTAACAAAATAAAATAATCGACTTTATTATAAAACAACTCATACCAAAAATGTAAGCTAATATATAACTAAACTAATTAGTAAAACATTTAAGCAAAATAAAATCTTTTTGAAACAATTTTCGAGTAATCATAAATATATTAATTATGTACATAATTATGTAAACCATATATTTATCTAAAATTATGAAAAAGCGACAAGATTAATTTGAAATGACTTGAAAAACATTTTAAACTTTATAAAATCTAATTATTTCAAATTGTTTAGAATTAAGAAGCTTGTTAATTAATTACTATTGGGGAGGGTCAAAATTGGTTGTCAATAACTGTCCCTTGTTTTACTTGGATTGATGTAACAAATTTGAGGAAAATGAATTGACCAAGCCAATTTTGACCGACCATATATTCATCTTAGGAGAGGATTTGGTAAGGACTTTTGGGAGTAAGGAAGAACCCACAAAATGGGTTTCCTACACATCTCACGGTATATGAGAATTCAGGCCACTTGTAGTATGCTACACTTGATTTGACGCACGATTTGAAAGAATTCAAAAGTCATCTCGATATCGGATTATGGAGTGACCAAGATGCTGGAGAATAAAATTTAAGAGCAAATACTTGAATACAATTGAGTTTTCAATATTAAACCCGCCTAAATATTCTAAAGCTTAGGAATCAGGTTGTTTGTAGTTCAATTTGGTCGGTTTAAAAGGAAATCTATAATGCTAGATAAATTTTAGTTCTGGAAAAGTCATTAATTAAGTCGAGTATGAAAAGGAGGATTGTAACCTCTTATCCATGAATGTAGATCTCTTCACATCCATATGCAAGAACTTACACGGACATTATCTCCAAAGCTCTTGATGTATTATCTTTTGGATTTAAAAGTTGCTTCTGATAGATATCAACATTTTTGGATGCAAAACTGAAACCAAGAAACCTAAAGAAAAACCCACATGCCTTCTGATAGGGGTGTGGTTTTATTGTGGAGGAAGTCTCTCCTCTACTCGTGTCCTAAGAGTTTGACACTCCTCTTTGGACTATGTTCCAGTTTGTTGCTCAGAAAAAGTTTCACGTTGTGTTGCATCCTTTTTGATATAGTCCACACCTGTGGTTTCTTTTTCAGAATTCATCATTTCTGATGCTTCAACAATGACTAAGATAAAACTCATTAGCATAAATATTCAATTCGAATGGGAGACAATTTATTTTAACGTCTTGACACTAAATTGCTCTCCTTCAACATTTGATGTCAACTTCATTTGGTTTGACGTGAAGGAAATAAAGCATATGTCTTATATTTGCAATGTTAAAACACTCCAACAATCTAAAACCTAATATAGATCCTCACATGAGTTTCAAAGGGTTGTAGCACTGTTCTAGGGTTAATAATAGTGAATAAAAGTAATTTGGGAAGTTTTAGATTCAAGACATCAAGGAACGTCCATGACGTCCGGAGAATAGTGCAAATAGTGCTAGTGTGACTTAGCCTATTTCAGAAGATTTTAAGAGTCATAAATTGATGAAATTTTGTATAAAGGTGTCTAACATGTTTAGAATAGGTTTAGAGTCGAAACGTCCGGGTACGACTCCCCAAGGACCAATCAAATGGTCCTAGATGAGGACCCATTCATTTTGGATAAAAGCTATCTTGAGACAGTAGCCATCGATGAGGTGCAGGAGATGAGGCGTAAGTAAATCGATGGGGTGTCGATGCCTCCGTTGATGAAGACTTAGACTTTTTGGAAAAATGTCCATTTTGTCAAGTTTCTAGGCAAAACGACAGTGTGTAGGACGGTGGGGGTCATGGTCGTCAATTGACCTACGACCTGTAGGTCGGGTTTTGTAGGTCAAGCCTGCGATTTCTAATAAGTTTTATATATTTCTTTGAATTAGTTAATATAAAGATTAAGGGTTAAAGGAGGTATAATTAAGTTAGTTAAGAACCTATATAAAGACGTAAACCTAATTAAACTAACCCAACTCCCACAATTTCCCAATACTAAATTGCTCTTCTTTCTCTCTCCCAAAAAGAAGAACTCCATTGAAGGGATAAGATAAGGTCATTAGGTCAGAAAGAAGGGTGATTTTATCCATACAACTTCAATAATTAACAAGGTATGAGGTCCTTTCACCTTTGGGATTCCTTTCCCTAAAGGGTTCTTCGAAAATTGATTTAAAAAGATGAGTTTCACGTGGGTTTTCTTCTATTACGATTTGAACCTATAAATTTTATTGTATATGGTTTATTTTGATTATTATAGTTAGATTATGATGTATTATGATTCAATTATTCTAGTTCTTGCAGAATTAACCTAGTATGTGAAGTAGATCATGAATTGACCCAAGTCCCTATCTTTTGATTATGAACTAGTGATGAATTGATGTGTAATAATTAAATTGACTTAATTGTTTTATTAATTACTATTATGTGATGATATTGCATCCATTATTAAGTTGAATTTTATTGTTAATTGTAAAACCTTGGATGATGGCTTGTGAAGGAGATTGGGGTAGGTCTTGTGATCTCAAACCTTTACTTCAGTTATAATTACTTGTGTTTAGTGATGAAGTTATATTGAAGTACACCTTATGATAAGATTTATTAGGGTTGGTATGATGTTGAATTGAAATGTCTTGATTTATGGTTTGTGATTTGTTGGCTAGGATGTAATGTGTAACACTTAAAAAATCCAAGACGTGTCTTAAAGCCTACCATAAGTGTCATGAGGTCTAGAAACTGTTGTAATATTTATTGTAATTAAAATAGGTCATTTAGGAAGTTTGGAAACCAAAACGTCCAAGAACGTCCATGATGTTAGGAAAACTAGATCATGGAGGTACTAGCGTGCCTTAGCTTATTTGACTAGCTTTTAGGAGTCGGAAATCCATGAAAATTTGTGGAAGGGTAGGTAACATGTGTTTAAGTGGATTCATAGTAAAAACGTTGGGGTAAAAATCCACAAGGACCAACCAAGGACCCTTGAGGAGGACCTTTGCATGTTGGAGTCAACACTGCCTAGGCAGTGTGCACCCATGAGAGATAATCGACGATTTGTGTGTGGATCGATGGGGCGTCATTTCCAATTGTTGACCAACACTTGGACAAATTGTCTAATACCTTGCCTTCACAATTCTCTGACAACAACCACGGATGTACATAACAGAGGAGGGCTGGTCCGTTGACTTACCCAAGATCTGTCAATCGTGGTGTCGTCTATGACATTATAATTTCCTACACATTTTAATTAGTCTTAACTAATTAATTAGGGGTTTTGGAGGTGTTAGGGATTAAGGTAAGTCTAATAGAGTTAATTAACCCCCATATAAAGACCCCAATCCCATTAGTCTAATTACAACTCTCAAAACAAAACTCTCTTCCTTTCTCTTCTTTCTCTCGCTATTCGAAGACACCATTGAAGACAAGCTAGGAGGGGGGGGGGGGACTTAAGGGATTAAAGGGACGATTTCACCATCAATTCTTCATCAAACATTGAGGTATGGAATCTAATTCACCTTTGAGACCTCTTTCCTCAAAGGGTTACTTCAAAGTATTTTCAAAAGTTGAGTTTTCATGTGGGTCTTTCTTAATCTCGAAAATTATGTTTTAAATTGGTGTGTTTAGGTTTTCTATTGGATTATCTTAATTTATTAACATGTATTCTAACTTAATTATGATATATCTTGATGGTTTGGTCTAGTTTGTAGACGATGAACCTTTCCTTTTAGGTTTGATCTTGGTATGCATTAGGTGGTAATTGGTTCAATTGACTGTGCTATTATTTGAATTACTATTATTTGATGTTGTTACATTATTCAATAACAAATTAGGGTGATTTTTATACTTTCATTCTAGTTCTTGAGAAGATGATCTAGGTTAGGAAGTGAATTGACCTAAGCATCTTGTCTTAATATATGATCTAGTATTGAATTGTGATGTAGTGATTCTTCAATCTTTGTTATCACGTTGATTATTGATTTATGATGATGTATACCCAAGTTGGGTTGAATTTAGGGTTTATTGTAAGACATTGATGATGATCTATGAAGGCGACTTGGTAAGTCTTATGGTCTTTATCCTTTACTTCAAATTGTGGTTAATTGTGATTAAGTCATGATGTTGTATTGGAGTTTGGCTTGTATTAGGATTCATAGGGAGGTATTATGTTGAATTGAAATGTTTTGATTATTATTGTGAGGAGTTTTCTTAAGATGTAAATGTTTTAAGGAGCGTGAATGATTTACCAATGTGCTTTATCATGATGTCAAGGTGTTAATTTGCTAACTTCACCTATATCAATTGTAATGAAAGGATTTATACTCATGCAATTCTTATTGAACTATTGATGATGATGATTATAGAAGGGGTAGACCTTATGACCTAAACTAGGGTACGATTGATAATAAAGGCTTAAAGACATTTCAAGAAGGGCTAGCTTAGCACCGAGTGAACTAGATAGAGGAGTGTCCCTTCCCACATAGAAAAGGTCGGATCACTGATATACTCTTGAGATTGGAGACTATAATGCACATAGCATAAAAAGGGTCCCAACTAAATCTCCTAGTTCTTGAACTTTGTTGCCCCCATAGAATACTAGCTAGTAGATCCACGTAGTTGCTATGTTTCATGTTTTGGTACTACCTTGGAAAGTAGTACTCCTTCTTTCGATGTAGAGTTTTATGACAACGGATTCCACACTAGC